CTTCAGAGCTGAGTTCTCGCTATTGTTCTCGGCTCTTTTCTTCCTTCCCCAAGTAAATCACAGGATCATCAGAAACCCTATTGAATCCTCTCCAGAACGGCACTCTGATCTTTATCTTCAAAGCCATCCAGCTAGGGCTTCGGGCTCGAAATTTGCGTGAGAGCTGAAAGAAAGTAAATTTGGGGGCTGGCTTCCTTTGATAACCAAATGCTTCTCTTTCTTCCTTTGTTCTGAAGGGACAACTTTAAAAGGAATTCAGTGATGAGGAAAATAATTCTACAGTGTTTAGCTCTGTGCAGTCACCGTGGCCGGCTTGGGGCATTTGCTTCAAATTGAAACTGTGTGGCTTGTCTTCAATAGAGGTCAGTTATTAAATGTCCGGGACTGGAGGGTTTAAAAGATGAGCATCATCAGTCCAAGGTGGGAGCCACGTGTGCAAGCAGGGAAGAGGCAGGGAGGAAAAAAACGTCAGCTTGCAGCCCCTCGTGATAAGAGAACTTATCTCAGGTGTTCTAGGCTCATGGCTTGGGCCTACAGAGGGTTAACTACCCACTGAAAAAGCAAACGATGAAACCTGGCCCTTGACCTCTTCATTTCCCACGCAAACCAGCAAATGACCACGCCGCAGGCAACACAACATAGAGACACAAAGTAGTGTCAGTCTGTCAAAGCTCAGAGCAAAAATGCCGATCGTTACCCATCTCTACCGTCTTTAAATCTACCAAGCAGCCTCTGCTTTTCCGTAGGGGAGGGGGACGCAGCATGAACAAAGGCCAAAGAATATAAAGTTGCAATTTCAACAAGGACAGGAGCACTCTGCGGAAGGAGACGGAGGGGTGGCAGGCGGGCTGGCTGGTGGCTCCGTGTTGACCCGTTAACGACAACGACTGAACGCCGGATCCCCGCCTCGCCCTGCGCGTCCTTTGCAGCCCGCACCATCGCATCGCCCCGACCTCTGCGTAACTCACGTAACTCACGCGCGGAACCGCCTTTGTGTCCGAGGTCCCGGGTCTCCTGGCGTCCCCACCCTGCCTGCTGATGCCCCACTGCCTGCTGACTTCCCTGCGCTCTCTTGCTGGAGAACACCTTGTCGACTGCCTCCAGGTGCCCAGTGTCACCCGAAGGAAACTTTCTCCCTTTCCATTTCCTCGAGGTTTCTTGAAATGAGATTTTATACCACCTGCGTTGGGAATACCCAGAAAGCCTGATGATTGAGCATCTTTTGCCGCATTTGATAACTCCAAGCTCAGAGACTAGAATGCGGGCGGCAGTATCTTATTTGGCTCAGATGTAGGCAAATGGTCATCACCGGGTCCTGCCTCGGCTCAAACAAATCACCACAGGTTGAGCCAAAAGCTGCTTTAAAATTAGCTGTCGGCGTTTATCAGAAGGTGGGCAGCCTCATCTCCAACATTTAACCAAAAGAACTTAAAACTTCTACACAAGTGGAAAGTATCGAGATTGTTATCTTAATGGAAATCTGAAAATAGATGTATATATTTTTTTCTGGACTAAAGGGAAGGACGTTTTGTTAAGAGTTGGAACAGGATTCTCCTCCAGTCAAAACTTCCCAAAAAGAAATCATAAAATGTCTCTTCACATAAATGTATATTCTTTCGGGTTTTTTTTCGTTTTTTTTTTTTTTCCTGTTTCTTGAGCAATTGGCTTAAATACTTTGAGCCTGTAGACTGGGCATTCTGAAGGCAGGAACACTGTTCTTGCTTTTTGTCACACTGTATTTATTTCCAGCAACTACCACAGAACCCGGCGTACCCAGAGACCATACTGAATAAATACTTGGTAAATGAATGAATGAATTTCAGAAACCCAAGCATTTTAATAACTGCTGCATTTTTCTGCCTTAAACTGAGTAGAGGGTCTTTTTGGCACTGGCAGAATGTGCAACGAGGAATATGAAATTTACACCCCGTCTCCCACCCTACCTCCCATCAAAACTTGTTGCTTTTCTCAGTAGGTAATTAAAACAGAAACAACAACTACATCTAAGACAAATTCTGTAGTTTAATCTCCGGATTTCAGTTTATCTGCAGTGTTGGCATAAGTGCCTTAGAATTTGGTTTGAATCACATACAAACCCACCAGGGATTTGAAAAATCTCCCCTTTCTCACACTTGTATATTCACCACTTAGGTTAAGAATTAGGAAAAGAAAGACAAAATCATTTCAAATCACTATTCCTCTTAGTTGAGTCCAGGGAGTAAAGTGTTTAAATTTTTCATGGCTTCTACCAAAAACCTGAAACTAATAAAAGATCGTGTCCGAGGTTCTTACGATTGAGACTAGGGGTTGGCAACTACACTGTGGGTAAACCCAGTCTGCCACTGGTTTTTGTAAATAAAGTTTTATCGGTGCACGCAGCCACGCCCATTAGTTTATGTATCGTCTATGGCTACTTTTGCAATACAATAGCAACAGAGACCACATGGCCTCCGAAGCCTAAAATATTTATATTCTGACCCTTAAAGCAGCACATGTTAGGAACTTAAGCGGTAGGCTCGGGAATCAGCACATCTGGGTTCGAATGTGAGCCTCCTCTTTAGTAAAAGAGGCATCTATTAGACTGGGATGGCGTTCACATCTGGGAAGCGTAGGGCAGCAAACCGACAGGTAAGCCACAGTCGGTGCACTAGCATCCGAGAAAATGAAACGGAAGACCAGCCTATCACAAACAGCCAATTCGGCTTTCCCAAAAAAGGAAGCCACTTAAACTATAGTCAATCAAACGATTCCCTCGCTCTGCTCCCTCGTCTCTTCTGTTCAAAGCTCTCTCCTGGCTCCTGTCCCCCATCAGCTCTTGCTTGGTGCCGTCCAGTTCGAATCGATGCACACTCAAATAAACTCTGAAACATTTTAATGTGCTTCAGTTTACCTTTTAACAGAGCTAAGGGATCTTGGGCATATTATTTAGATTATTTAGATTCCTTAAGGCTCAGTTTCCCCATCTGTAAAAATGGGAATAATACTTACCACATAGAGCTGTTTTAAGATTAAACAAGATAATACAAGTAAAGCACTTAGAATAGTGCTTGACGCTACATAAAAGCTGTTAGGAACCCTGAAAGGACTCTAATTCTTTTACTGTCAATAGGTTTCTTTTTTAAAAAGTCCTAAAAGAGGTTCTGACTCGTAGTTAACTACATTCGGCAACATTTCTTTACACATTCATTAGCTTTAGACTTGCTTCAGCAACTTTGACTTCATTAAAGTTATCATTATTTTTTTAATTCCATTTCTTTTATCGGCTTCTTTAACTTAATCCCCCGTGTGGACTGCAAAGGTCCTGGGACTCAGGGAGAACTTCTTACGAGACGGTTTTGGAAGAGAACGAAACAATAAGAGTCAGAGAGAGTCAGGAAAATGAACAGTGAGAGAGTTACCGAATGAGTGTGGCCAACCCAGTTTTTAAAAGACAAATGGGAACACGCCTGGGAGAAGCAGGATGGGCTAAAACGATGTGAAAAGTAGACACAGGGAACACAGACAGAACGCAAATGCATTCTGGCGAGCCATCAGCACGAAATCATTTATATAGCCCTCATCCACTACTTAATTCTTAGCTGAATTTAACCCTCCTTCCCTCAATATTTCTCTACCTCTGGGAAAAACATCCCCTAACCAGAGGTCTCTTTGCAAATGCCAGCTAACTCAGATGCAGTGGGATTTTAGCTAGGCGAACCTGGATTTTTGCAGACCTGTGAGTTTCATTGGTGAATCTCTATTTGGGGCAATTAAGCGCTTTTTGGAAGGAGGACAAATGAAAACAAACCTCTTTATGGCCTTTTGGGGAGGCTTGGCAAAATTTATTTTTTCCAAGCCCCTAAAAAAGCTGGTATTTTCTAGGGTGAAAATAATCATTTGGGAAGGGCCTAGCCCCGTGCCCAGCAATGAGGAAGTGTATAATCTATGTTAATTTGCAGCCCCTAAAAAGAATAAACCCCCAAGGACAGGGGTCTATTTGTCCATCCATTCATTCGACACACATTTTCCAGCTTGAGCTGTAAGTCAGGCACAGTTCTAGGACCTGGGAAATAGGATCGCCAGATATAGCAAGAAAAATAAAGACCCATCCAATGCAATCTGAATCTAAGATATATCATGAACATGTTTTAAAAGTGTAATTATGTCTCATGCAATACACTTTGACTAGAAAATTACTCATCGTATATCTGAAATTCAAATTTAACCG